TACTACAATTCATATTTTTTTAAGTAAAATTCTGTATCACTTGTAGTTTTTCTGTTATAATACTATTTTGTACTCTCTTTAAAAATAAAATTAAAAAAGATACTCAGGTACTGCTTCTTTGACATCCAATAAAAATGTTCCATCTGTTCTCAGATGCTCTCGATTGCCATCCTTTGCTGGCTCATAAATGCTCACCAGAGATCCTACCTCAGCTGAGGTAGCTACATTTATACTTGTTAAAACTAGCAAGACTATTTGAAATGGTGATTATCTATGTTTCTCAAAATCAACGAAAGAGCCTGTCATGGTAGCCCATGCCTGTAATCCTAGCACTTGGAGCCTGGGAGAAAAAAATTGCTGTGAATTCAAGCCCAACATAAATATTAATTCTGAATCCACAAAATGAAAATTTACAACTTGACTTTGCCTTTCAAAGTGAAGAATTTAAAAAAAAATCATGCCATCCATTTTATATGAGATTATTCACATGGACTGTACAAGTATAAATTGTTAACTTCTTGATAATGTACACAAAAAGAAGTAAGAATTTTTTCAGACTCTGAAACCTAGCAACTTCTCCTCCAGGAATTTTTCCTTGGAAAGTAATTATTGTGTATAAAGATTTTGGTAAAGGTTTGAGTCATGATAAAAACCTACAGGCAACCTAAACATTAATTTTTTTAAGTTTATTTGATACATCATCTAATTTATTTGGTACAGGATCTTGCTATGAAGTTCAAACTCACAGTGATTCTCCTGTCTCAGCCTCCCCAGTGCTGGGATTACAGGCATGTGCCACCATGCCTGGGGTTCCAGGCCTGGTACAGCATGCATTACCAGGGATTGAACTCGGGATTTTGTACTTATCTCCCCAGCCCAACCTAAATATTAAGCAAGAAAGAGTTTAATAAATTGCTATTGATATTATTAAGATAAAATACAATATTTGATTGCATAGAAATAGTATTTACATTGCTTTGTTATATAGAAAATATGTAAAATATAGTGTTCCACTGTTATGGTTCGTATCTAGGTGTCCCCCCAAAAAAAAAACCAGTTGAGTATGAACGGAAACCTTCACAAACAGTGAGCTACATAAACCTTTCCATCCTTAATTTTGGGCATCAGGTATTTTGTTCTAGCAATGAGAGAAAACTAACCGAGACATCCACTGTGATAAATAAATTTTATATGTATATAATTGCATAAGTACTGTCCATCAAATAAACCTATTGAGATTCCACAATCTAGGAAGAAGTAAAAAGATTTTGAAGTAGTACAGAATGTGTCATAATGAACTTACACTAAACCTACTTTTAGCCATATCCATCATGATTAGATTTGAAACTCTTTGAGAAGCAAATTAACTTCTACTCAGGAAGGAAGCATAAGACAGGATAAGATAACTAAAGACAAAAGACCTGGGTTCTACCAGATTGTTCTTCTCCCTTTTCTCTCTCCATTTAGGTCTTTCATATCCACTGATATACAGACTAAGACCCAATATCTCCCCTCCCCTTTATCCTTTCTCTAAATAGCCCTCATGTGACAGAGGCCATCTTCCTAGCAATATTACCTCTTCCACCCCTGCCTATTGGCTTGGAGTGAGCCCAAAGGAGATATGATCCACTCTTAGGAAGAAAAGACATATAAAGTCTTAGGATTTAGGTTATAGGTCCTATACTCGGGAATATTTGTGATTATTGTGATATGTAAAATTGACTTAACAATAACACATACCAGATTAGTAAAGCCCTGGACATGCTTGTGGATGGTTCACATGTAGTTTAAAAACTGAGGATAGTAGGGGCCGGGAGGTGGCTCAGTAGAATAAGCGCTTCCCTGGCAAGTGCAAGGGTCTGAGTTCAATCCCCGGTTCCACCAAAACAAACAAACAAACAAAAAACCCCTGAGGATATAAGACTCTCCTCAGATGAGTATGACAACTGATTGGCTTATAGATTGCATGGAATAAAAGGAGAAAGAAGGGAAAGTGTTGTATGTTATGAGTCGGTGCCAAAAGAAACGACAAGAAGACCTGATGGATATGGCTTCAGAGGTCTCACTGAGATTAGTCTCTCTCGAAGTGAGCCCAGAGCCACAAAAGCATCTCTCATTTATTGAGGGCTAAAGGCAGGCTAAGGAAGGTGCATAATTACTTTGGTGAACACAAACTACTAACTCTATGGACTTCCACCATTTGCCTAAGACTAAGTTTACACAATGCTAGGCGATAACATCCCAAGCAAGGGATCAAAGAACAGACAGGGCGCCATCAGCTTCTAGCTGTTATCTGCAGCCTTGAATCCCAGCTTGCCAGAATTTACAAGTGAGAGACAACAGTTCTCCTTGGGCCCTGTGTATTGTTCATTGTTCCTTTGGGACATTAGGCTTTTTGTCTCATATTTATATTTCTATAGGAAGGCCCATTTCCTCTTCAGAGGAGCTCTGGCCTTTGCCATTGTCTTTGGACATGGGGCTCTAGTTTTCATTTCCAGTGCAGATGCTTCAGCTTTTTTTTTTTTTCTTTTTCTTTTTCTCTTTGAAACAGGGTGTCAGTATGCAGTTCAGGCTGGCCCTGAACTCATTTTGTAGCCCAGGCTAATCTCTAACTCACAACAATCTTCCTGACTCAGCCTCCTGAGTGCATGGATTACAGGTATGCGCCACCACACCCAACCTCTTCTGCATTCTAATGTAGGTGTTTGAGCTTTCCAACATGGACTTACACCGGATTCTGCAGTGAGGTCCAGGCCTTTGACATTCGACTGGATCCTCCAGCCCTCTAATGTGTAAACAGTCATTTTGCATTCTTCTACCCCAATTCTGCAATTCTACAGGTGGCCAATGAAAGCCTAGTCCTACTGAATAATCTGTCCTTCAGTGTACCTAAGTGACAAATATTCTAAGATCCTGCCTCAATCAACTTTCCACTATTCCAATAAAGTACCTGAAGCAATTAATCTATAATGAGGAAAAGCTTATTCTTGACTTGAAATTTGGAAGTTCCAGTCTAAGATCAAGTGATGCCATCATTTTGAGCCCCTAATGATGGCAGTACATCATAAAGGGAACAGGAAGCAAAGAGAAAGAATAAAAGGCCAAGGTCCCACAGTGCCTTCACTGGGATACCACAAGAGATGAATATTCTATAATTACATTTATATAGTCATATGAATAAAAATGAAATGGGTGGAGGTTTAACAAAACGTAATTTAAATGTGTGATATACATGTACCAATTCCTTCCAGTGAATGTAATCATTATGTACTGAAAACATGTACTAATACATTTTTTAAAAAGTAAAGATATCTTGCAAGGTTCTACTTCTTAAAGGTCCACAAAAACTTCCCAATGTGGTCAACCTCGGGACCATGCCTATATACATAGACCTTAGGGTGATACTCACCCAAACTATGACAGGCAAGACACAAGATCCTAGGCATCTGTTGTGTTGTCTAGAAGGAGGGAAGAATCCCACTAGGCATGTTTTTCCCAACTGGCTCACCACTACATGGGAAAGAAGGCATGGACAGGGCCCGAGGCTGATCCTTTAAAAGTAGAGCCTTGGGCAGAGGTATTGTCTGCTCAGGCCTAAGGTGGCAATGTCTTTGGGCATGTGATCTAAATACTTGTTTAGAGTTTTTCATATATAAAATGGAAATGAAGCAAACTAACCAGGGTGTACCATGAAAATTGATGCCCTAAATACCTTAATGACCTCCCAATAGGGCGCACCACATTACCACAACAGGGACCAAGCTTTTGATACATAAATCCTTGGGGGCCACACTTAAACCACAGCAAAACCACAGCAGGGACTAATAGCTCCTGTATGTCACATCACTGTTCCATCCAGTAGACACAAATAATTATACATTGAGTTTTCTGGTGCACAAATGTATATGCTTCGCAGAAGATATATTAATGTAATGGGTATCAAGGGGAATAAAATAAATGACAAGGAGTAACAGTTTTTCCCTTGTATAAGATCCATTGTGTTCTTCATATTCCTTTGAAAGGGGCCATCAGCACTTATACCACCTAAAAATACATTTTTATGCTTTCTTATTTTTTTAAATTGCCTGTTGCAGTTCTTTTCAAATTTGTGAGTTTTACCAAAGGCTAAGATTGAAAAGTAACTGATATTAGTCAAAGACTGTGAGCCAAAAGCTTTACATGTTATTTTTAAGGAGGATACTGCTAAATTGCAGAGGTTTTACGGAGCATGCATCTCTTGAAACAAGATTTGACTGACCTTATCAAATCCAACGCCTACAACTCTTGTTGCATAGGTCTTGCTTTATCTTGGTCTTAACCATCCAGCAGAAAAGTATAAAAATAATATATAAGCCATGCTGCTATGTTGAGCTGTAGGGGACTCAGGTCAACAATTTCTGACATCACCAGTCAAGCGGAAGACCCAATACTATTAGGGGCTACTGGACTCTTTTAGAATATTTTTCTGAGTTTACACACCTATAATACTCAAATAATGGAACATAACCAAAAAAGGGGATATAGATGAATGTCCATTTTGTACCTGTGTATTCAAAGTGGTTAGGATAGATATATAGTTACATTCTCTTAATGAATAGAGGGATTTGTTCTAAAGGTGTTTGTAAATAGGATATCATGTCCGCATCTCGTACAGCAATTAACCACTAGGAAGAATGTATGCAATGTGTTAATTATTGAAAGTGTCCTACCAATTTGATTGGAAACTTTCTCATTGCTATTTGTTTCTTAATAACATTATGGAAAAAAAAAGTTCAATATGTCTAGAAAAAGATGTATCTCCCCCATAGTTTCCAGAGAACAGAAAATAACGTTTTCCTTCTAGGATTGGCAGCTACAGAAAAGACAGGCTATTGCATATGTAAGAGGGAGAGAGTGCGGGGAGGGAGTAGCAAGCCCACCCCGCGTCTGCTACGCTTTTGGTGGGAGTGGAAATTGGAAACCTGATCTCACCGGTGACGTAGATCTCATGTGACCACAAGTCGACGTGTGCAGAAATCCTCCTAGTCCGGTCCTTGTTCCTGCGTGGGTACAAGCTTCCTTCAGCTGTGCGGGCGGCCGTGCCGAGGGCCAGTGAAAGGAGCCAATTTATCAGAATTCAACAGGTTGGTGTCAGTATGATTGGTGCCTGGGGTGTCTAGTGTTAAGGTGGTCTAAGGTGGAGACTTGAGGGAGTCCCAGTCAAGTCCGTCTTTCTACCCTCTGCCTCTAAGTCTGCAGGAATTAATTATCCTTAGGAAAGGAACTAAGGGTCCTAAGTGGCGGACAAGGAAACCCTGATAGCTTAAAAATAATCCCAGACCTGTTTGCTAATACCCACCCTGTTCCCAGACCTAGCCCCAGTAAAGCTCAGAAAAAATCAGCTTTTCCCACTCCGTATCTAATGAGAAAGACGAGTTAACTTGCCCTGTGTAGAAAATAGCATGAAAAAAGATGAGAAACTTTCTATTACCGAGATCTGAATGATTAAAGCTAACGTAAATCTGCAGCTCCTGGTCTCTGTTGCCCATTGGCCTATCAGGCACTTGCCCCGCCCCCTCTTTCTCCGGCGTCCGCAGATCCATTCTTAGCACCGCCCAACGGAAAAAAAAATAGGAGTTAGAAACTGACCAGATTGGTACTAGCTGCGAGGGACTTTGTTAAGACTTGGTATGGTAGTGGGTGAGGGTTCTCACAGTCCCTTCTTTTTCCCCTTCCTTCCTGTCCCCTCCAGCCAACCCACTCTGTTCTGGGAGGGCACTGTGTTAGGATCTGTGGGAAACAAGGGCTTGGAGAGGGCTGAGCGTTTGGAAGGAGGACCTTGGAAAAGGCTGTAGGAAGGGACCAGACAGAGGGAACGCACTGGAAAGTGAGAGTAAGAGGTAACCCAGACTGCTGACTGGGCTTCTCGGGTGGAATCCCAAAAACAAGTGCTTAAAATTCTGCAGAGTACGTGTAAACTCACTAAGCCTTTTTTACCTACAGTATCATTGCTTCCTAGGAGTAACTGCACTCAACGGGGAATACGCAAGAAAAAAGAAAAGAAGAAAGAAGGAAGGAAGAGTGACACAGATAAAAGATGAAACCCTGTCAAAAAATTGAAGAAAAACCAGAAAATGAGAATGAGCCAAAGTGTGAGGAAGAGTCAAAGACTGAGGAAAAGCCAGAGGAGGAGGAACAACCTGGAGAAGAGGAAAAAACAGAAGCAACATTTAAAGAACGGTTGATTCACTCTCTGGAGGAATTTAAAGAAGATATACACAACAGACATTTAAGCCATGAAGATAAGTTTAGAGAAGTCGATGAAATCGATGCGATAAGGAGAGTAAGAAACAAACTGATAGTGCTGCGTTGGAAGGTTCACCGAGACCATTTCCATCCGTATTTAATGTAGCTTAGTTTCATTTCTGTGTTATTAATAACATTGTCATATAGCTTTCTTTTTATTGACATTTTCCTTATATATCTTTATTCATCTTTCTACTTTAGCCTATTACGTTTAGTGGTTTTAGGGCATCTTTTGTTATCTGCATCTCACTGTTTATTGTATTTGGAATCCATCTACCAGTCTTTATCTTTTTAAATTTTTTATTAGTACATGTTTGCGGTTCATAATGATTACATTCATTGTGGGGAGTTGGTGCATGAGCATAACACATACTAGTTATTTTTATATCTCATTTCCTGTCCTCTCCCTCTCTCCCTTCTGTATTTTAATATGGGAACTTTGCTATTTGTAAAAGAGGAAAGTTTCCTGTGATGATAAAAATGAGAAAAAGATTAGTAAGTCATGTATGAATATCATATTTTTGAAAGGTAAAAATACATTTGTATATAACACATGCATATGAAAACTTCTGATGACTGAAAGATAAAATGTACAGTCTTAATGGTGGGATTATGAATGATTTTTCCTCTTTGTATTTTCCTCATTTCTAAAGTGAACACACGTTGTTAAAAATAATAAATATTTTATAAGTAAAAATGAGGCAACCAACAGCACTTAATACCTAATTTCTGAAACTACTGCAGCACACATAACTTAAGATTATAAGCAAATGTGAAATTCAAAGTGTCACCAAACCATTTAGTTAAAATGAATTTTACATCTTTTTCATCTGTAAAATAAGGACCATAATCTCACAGAAATACTGTGTGGGTCAAATAAATAATTGAAAGCTATTTGACATGTTTTGATCCCTATCATCACATACATAGTCCAAGCTCTACAGATTTGTTTCAACTATTTGGAATGATAAAAAAGTAGTTGCCATCTGTACTGGAAAACAAATCCAGGAAATGATTAGGTGAATACCACCTTTATATTCTCTCCTGTTTTTCACCCAGCTTTTCATCAGCCATCCTTTCATGTGAACATTTATTTAGGATATTTCTTCTCTTTTGGACAAATCCTGCACATGTCAAGCCCTTATGGCTGTGATGTGCTTGGATACTCAATGAGTGAAGCCTAGCCTATTCCTTTGGACCCTCCAGTGGCCTGAATCCCCAGAATGCCCTCTGCATAATTAAGGGGATTGCCTACTTCTTCAATTTATATAGACACTTCTGCAGTGCTCCTTGGGTAAAGATGTCTCATAGATACCTTTGCAATTTTCAGATTTTTACCTTTTCTCTTTATACAGTACAGATACGCTGAGCTTATCTGGGAGTTTGACTAGAAAAGTCTGAATAATAGACATGCTCTAGGCAAAAGTTCTGCTCTGGCCCTGAAGATGCCATTGTACCTTAGCTTCAATTTCTTTGTGGTTCGTAATTTTTTTTTTCTGAAGACTGGTGGTGGCAGGCCCCCCTATTGGTTCAACAGGTACCTCTAGATTTGTACAACTTTTAAAGGGAGGCTTAAGTCAGTTTGGAGATACATCTCTGGCTAGAAATATATGAAAGTGCTCTGTCAGGTGTGCTACTGGTGCGTTCTTTTCTTTTATGATAAGATTTGGGGATTTTTCATGGCTACAGATTATTCTACAAGGGAATGTCACCAGGACCAGTGCTGATCAGGCTGGAATTCCAACTGGAGTGAGAAAAGGTTCCAGGGACTCACTGTGCCTGTTTTACAAGGTAAAATAAATTTAGCCCCCTGGGACTAAGAAGTGGGGCGCTTAGCTAGAGTGTAGAGGAGCTCAACCTAACTACACTCTTCTCTAGGATGGGCCTGTCTTTGATTTCTCTACTCCATCCTGCATCAGCTTCCAGGCTCTTCAGCACTGAGGGCCAGTATTTCCTGGATAGAGTTTCGTGCAGGACCACTCCTGTCCCTATTGTAGATCAAAGCACTAGACTTCCTTTTACCCATTTTTTCCTTCTCAAGAGCTGTTTGAATTTTTTTTCTCTTCTCAAGAGGTGTTATAATTTTTTTATAAGTCACAAGATAATACCTCAATTCCCAGTATGAAAATAAATAAATAAATAAATAAATAAATAAATAAATAAATGCCTGAAACCTATTGAGGGTGGTATCCCAAAAATTCCTTTTCAAAAAAATTACTGTAATAATATAAATGAGTCATTTTAAAGACCAATATCAGATAGAATAAATATTAAAACTTTGTCACAGATATGGCAAAAATCTTGTTAGGAAACATTTCCCTACCATAACTGCTTTAAGGATAATATCAGCAGACATAAGTTAAGAACTGTGCACACTTGGAGGTTTTACCCTATGTGTTAGGTCAACAAGCTAGCTTATACAATTTAATTGATGCCAGAAGAACACACTAGATTTCTAGATGGGGTACAAAGGACATTATCTCACCATAAGCAGTCACCATAGCTTCATATTGCTTTCTACTGGCTCCCTTTGATGTCTGAGTTCCATAAGGTGACACAGGCCCCATGATGGCTGCCTCAATATGCAATGCATTATAAGAAAGAAACTCTGTTTGGGGCAACTTGCAGTTTTCATAGTAAGCAGAAGCATGTCTTCTCTTTGTCCAGGGGAAAATGTTAACCATCCTTCAAGGTTGGTTGCTGCAAACACAATGAAAAATGATCTAGCTGGTTAAAAGGTAGTCGAGGCATTCCATTCTTGGCACACAATAAGGACACTAAGGGATGCTGAGGGCCTATAGCCTACTGCATCGCTCAATAACAGTTTTCTTTTTATAATAAATCCTAATGTCAATGGAAAGTTTTAAGATTAAATAGCCGCTGAGGAACTGTAAAACTATACTAAGAAGTACCTACCCTGACATCACAAAATAAATCAAAATGCAGAGCCAATAGATTAATCAGGATTCTCATTCATCACTGGGAGTAAACTCATACAAAAATTTTCACTAGCAAACTGACAGGAGGATGTGCATTTGACAATCCACACCAGATTCCATACAAGTTCACCATGGTCTCTGTAAAAAGCAAAAGCTAAGAGAAAAGTTGGTTTCTTCTACCTTCAGGGAAAGTTCAAAGTAGAATTAAGATCAGAGGAGCTGCAACCTCACCCACATGACACTACCGAAAGCCAGTTATTTGATATTGATACATCAGTGTTGTGCTAGAGGCTTAGCAAAGCAGCTGCATCACTTGCTAGATATCTTAGGTATGGAGTACCTTTTCATGTATTATTTATTGGCTATTTATATATCTTTTAGTTTGAGGAATGTCTGTTCAAAGATTTTGCCACATCATTATTTCCAATGTGGTTTAATAAAGTACATATTTAAAGTAATGAGGCAAGGGGCCAGGGAGATGGCTCAGTAGAATAAGTGCTTCCCTGGCAAGCGCAAGGACCTGAGTTCAATCCCTGCTTTCACAAAGAAAAAAAAAAACATAAAAAAATGAGGCAGATTCCTGTATACTACATGTTTACTTTGCATTGTTGAAAGAAAAATGAAGAACATGAAGTAACAATACAGTATACATCTAAACATACTTAATTTTTTTTTTCATTTTATGTAATTGGTGCAGGGTCTCACTATTCAGCTCAGACTCGTAGTGATCCTCTTGTTTTCAACATTCCCAGCACTGGTATTGCAGGCATGCGCCACCACACCTGGACTCAGTCATTGGCTCAGCATGTCCCAGGGGCGGGGCTGGTGCTGCAAGTGGGAATAGGAATCAAACTCTGGTCACTGAGCTTGCCAAAACAGGCACTTAGTCCACTGAGCTATCTCGCTGGCTCTATATATTTATATGTATCAAGATGAAATTTCCTCAGTTTAATAAAGGGAGGGACTTTTTAAATGGGACTTTGATATCTCACTAGCCCTCCTGCCTTCTGGTTGCTTAGAAAGTAATATTTTTAAAAATCTTGGAATGACTAATCTGACTATCTTTGCATTGTAACTGTCAATTTATTTTTGTCCTTACACAAAGTCTTTCCCTTCCATGAACTGACTTTTACCAGATATTATGTCATTAACTTATTATTTTTATAAAAAAGGAATATGCAATGTACCCAAGATCATCCAGCTATTATATGGAATGCTTGTCTAAGGTCAAAGACCTGACTATTAATCATGGCTTTGAAACAGTTGGTGTATAACAAATGATAACAACAGTGCTGTGGTGAATGAATCCGCGTTAGTTCCAAACCATGCTCCTGCCCACTATAAATCGCAAGACTTTAGCCTCCCCCAGCCAATTAATAAAGACATGGGGCTTTATTTGTTCTAGGACAGCAGTTTGACCAGTCTCTTAACCAATTGGTTGCTTCTTTTTAGCCAAAGCCCCATTTTGGTTGAAGCCCTGCCCCCATACAGCTTGCCTGTGCAGGAGTGTATGCTTCCAATATTTGACTCACTCTTGTTTCTATTCTCTGTGTTAAAAGACCTGATTGTGTGGTATCAGATGTTTCTCCATTGATGTGTTCCCTTAAGACTATTTCCACAGGCCTTTAATGGTTATTCTGTTTTATAAATTTTCCAGCTTTACTAAAGAGAAGGACTGCAGAGCTCATCAAGCTGTTATATAACAAATTGTTCTTTGACATTACTTCTTCCTGAAGGAGTAATTGAGTTAGGTGGAGTAATTGAGTTAGGTGTTCTTACCCTGTATTCCTAGTGCCATTTCAGCATTAACTATGCACTCAATTTCCTGTTTCCTCCCATTAAATCATGAGTTCTGTAAGAATATAAAGACAACATCTATCTCATTTTGTTTATATCCCTGGAGGTTTGCCTGACCCATAATAAAAGCACCCAGGAAATACTTAACACATTGAATTATTTTTATTATATTTCAGTTAACTAGAAAGAGCTATGTCTTGAGAATCAGAACTAACCGGTGACTGAGTTTGAAAATGTATATGGGCAGACAGTGCCTAGCAAAAATGTGCTCAAACAATGCCAGATAATAGATATTGACTACAAAAGAGTAAATGAAAAAAAAAAGAGTAAATGAGAAACAGACTTGGAATTCATTAATAAATTATACTGAGCCGCGGTTTAAGAATATACACTTAGGAGACAGACTTTAAAAGTTCTAACTAATACTCTAACTGCTGGTTAGCTTCACTGTCCTACAGTTCTCTTGTAAAGTGGGGTATGTGGTTTAGCACTTACAACTTATGATTGTTGAGCGGATAAAAATATATTGATTAATGCACACCAACAATATATGTAGGCATCTGCAGTTATATACATGTTATTCTTATCACTAGTATGTGGAAGAAAATGGGATAATTTTGTACATGCTATTTTAAAACTTGAGTTGTTAAAACACAGCTAATGTTTTTCTTCCTTTTTCCATGCCCAAAGGACATTTTTCCCCGATTGGAGAAAATTTAGAAGACAGAAATAATCACTGGCTGATAAATAGCAACAGAAACACATCCCTAATCTTAAAGATTAGAACAACCAAATGGGAACAGATGAAGGAAGAACAGAATATCAAGTCACAATACATGCCTTAGAGGTTTCTAAGTGTACAGTGTGGCACAGGATACTGTCATGCTACTAATATGTGGGAGTCGTGAATGTCATGACAAAAACTCAAAAATTCAGGAGCTGAGGCAGGGGCAAATGAGCAAAAGAGGAAGAGAAGAAAGAAAGAGGAGTGTGTGTGTAAATTAACGTTTATCTTTAACACTTTAGCTAGAGATACATAAAATTTACCTGTGCTTCCAGCATCAAAGTATTATGTTTTAGTTATACTTAATAATACTTTATCATTTATTTCCATATCTACCTAATTTAT